CAGGGGGAGCTGTACACAGGGCGCTCGCCCCGAGGACTGACGCCGGACAGGGCAAGGCAGCTCACTGCCCGCAGGGCAGCAAAAGGGTTCCTTTCGGGGCAGCCGGCTTTGCAGGACAGGCGGAGCGGTGGAAGAGGCCCTCCGGGAAGGCTCCCACACGGGGGGCTCCACTGCGGGAGGGACCTCTGCATGGCCGCAGCGCACTCCGCCTGCCAAACACACGCCTCGGGGGCCCACCCGGAGGGCCCCGGGGACGCGGCTTTCCTCTGCGGGACCCCAACGGCTCCAGGGCGAGAGGAACGCTTGGCGGAGTTCACACCGCGGGCTTCCAAAGCACACACCGTGCCGACGACAAAGCCCACTCACCTCCCCGCCCGCCCTCGTCCTCTGGAAAGTTAAAACTGCAGACAGCTGGGCTGTGCCGCATCTCGGACACAGAAAAGGAAGCGGGGGAAAGCAGAATGGGAAGAGATTTACTCCCTTTCTAAATTATTCACAAGAAAAGGGACTGCGCATCTTTAACAAGCCATCGTTTTATGAAGCAAGGTTAACATTTTTACTTGATTCAGTAGAATATTATAAACTCTCCGGGGTCCATTTGAGGACTTTCTACTTTGTGCAAAAGGAACAGACTCAGCACTTTTTATATTATTTAGAGAATAAAATTAACCCTTGATGGCCCAGGCCGGGTATTTCCTCTCCCCAGTTAAATATGGCACACTCAGCAATTTCCCCCCCTATATAATTACGGGCTGCTATCCATCATCTGTAGGAGAACGCTTTTCTGACACTCCAAAAGTGATGCAGTAAGCACCTTCACTAATAGAATAAATATTCTAAATATCTCTTTTATATTTTCATTCAAATTGGAATATTTTAAAATAATTGTACACACGCTGGCTGGGTGACTTGCACTGGGGCTGGGAAGACTCTTGCCGGTTACGGTGATTTCACTTCGGAGGGAATGTCTCCCGCAACGAAACCAGGCGCGGGTCGGCCTCTGCTCGCAAAGAGCGATCTGCTCTGCTCGCACTCCCTCGCTGCCACCGGAGCGCTCTGCTTCCTCAACTCTGCACTGAACTTCTACATGCAGTGGTGCTTGCGAGACCCCTCCCCGCAGCAGCACGAGAACAAAGGACACGTTCCGTTTGCGTGCGGCCTGATGGGAAACCCCCCGCAGGGCAAACGGAGCCCTTCCCTCGCCCCACAGCGCTGGGGCCCCCACTGGCTTTGGGGCCGCTGTGGGGAGTGGCCAAGAGCATGGCAGGTGCACCCCACTATACGGGGTCCGGCTGCTCCGGACTGGACGGCCAGGATCTATGGCAGGCAAGGGGGGGAGGAGAGGCCAGGAGGGGCGGGCGGGCGGGTGGGATGAGAGTCCCTGGTGCCCACCTCGAAGTGTGCCAGGGTGAAGGGGAAGGCAAGCGTTGGAGGGCTGACCATGCAGACGCGCTTGCTAAAAGGCTCCCTCTGGGTTCCACTGGGGCAAAGCACTTTAGTTCACCCACACCTCTGTGATGCAAGACAATACTTCACTCCGTGACTGCAGTGCAGCCGTGCCTTTGGGACAGGGCCCTGAAGTGCTGCCAGCATCTGTGTTCACAAGGCCGCGGCCTCATTAGCAGCCAAGCACTCATCGGGCTAGCCGGCCAAGGCGACCGGGCTTGCCCCTGCTGAAATGTGCCGCTCTAGAGCCTGAGGCCAGAAAAGCCCGTTTGTCTCGCGCTGCCTGGCAGCCAGCACATGCGTGCTGGGAACGCCGGACATGGCGCACGTGAGCCGCGGGCTCTCCAGCTGAGGAGGCCTGAGGCACGCGGCAAGGCAAGCCACTTGCGGCCCCTCCGTCTGCGATGACAGCAGCTCGCCTGCCTTAAAGGACTGCCGGCAGGATGGCTGAGGCAATGCCTCGGCTCGGGCTCGGGCTCGGGAAAGCAGGCCAGGCATTTCCTCACAGCCATGAGCCGGCCGGCGTGACTCGCCAAGACCGAGCGCTACGGCAAACACGCCACCGTGAGCTCGGTGGAGGATCCCAGGCCCGGCACAGACTTTCAAGAAGCATGCTCTAACGGGAGCGATAAACGGGATGAGAGCGGCGGATCTCGCAATGCTGCGGCTAAGTTGCTGGCGGCGAGGAGGGAGATGGCTGGACATGCGGGCAGCCCCCTGAATCTATGGCGGTGGCGAGTCGAGCTGGAAAACGGCCCACCCAGGATATCCCCGGGCAGGACAGCGGCACAAAGGCAGATCTTCGTGAGCTCCCCCAGGCCACCCAAAGGCAGTCTGGCGTGGTTGGTCCAGCCAGAGAGCCGCAGCGGAGCTGCTGGCTTGCCCCACCAATGCCCACGCTGCTGTGGCTGCCTCTATGCTTTTAGAAGTAACAGGGGGCACATGGCCTGTGAGAAAGGGTCTGCCGTCACAGCAGTGCACACCGACTGCTAAAGCTCTGCACAGCTTGGGACCTGTACACATGGAAGCACTCCTAATTCCGTGTCAGCCCACTGAGGCCGTCCTTGGGACGCCTCCTCCAGGGACTCCCGGCATCTGAAGCGAGGTATTAACCAGGAGAGGACTTCTTAGTGGCGGCACCCCACTGGAGAACGTTCTCCCCTTCTCCATTGTTATGCGCCGTCAAGTCATCTCCAACCTCTGGACGAGTGTCCATGAAAGCCCTGCTCAGCTCTTGTAAATCCCAGGCCATGGCCCCCTTCATGGAGCCCAGCCACCCCATACTTGGCCTTCCTTTTCTACTGCTGCCCTTGACCTTCCCTCACACTGTCTTCTCCAGGGAGTCTCATCTTCTCGTGATGCGCCCAAAGGACACCAGGCCCAGCTTGGTCATTCCTGCTGCGAGGGAAACCTCTGGCTCGATTTGATCCAGGACCCCTTGTTCCCCATTCCGTCAGCCCGGGGTCCTCGCAAAGGCCTCCTCCGGCACCGTGTTTCAAATGCACCCGGCTCTCTTCGCGGTCCAGCTTCTGCACCCACACACAGCAGACAGGAATACAACAGTGTGGATGATCTCGGCCTGGTCTCCACTGAAACATCCTGATGTTCAAGCTCCTTCACTGCCGCCCTTCCGAGTGTCAGTGACCTTCGCGTTTCTTGGCTGCAGCCTCCCTCTGGATTGACGACCGAGTCAAGGTATGCAAAATCGTTCACAATTTCAATTTCTTCATGGTGAACAGTAAAGTTCTGTAATTCATCTGGTGCCGACTTTAATATCCTTCCAGTGTCAGACAAAGACCTTTAAAAATACCTTTTCCCAGGCTTTTACTATCTGAAGATGTTTCTAGCATGGATTTTAACGTTGCTTTCCATCATGCCATTTTTGTGGTTTGGCTGATATTTCTACAGGATTTTCATTCCGTTTTACTTTTGTAAACTGCACTGACAATTATATACAGAAAAGCAGCGTACAGTTTGCTCCTCAGAACGATTATGTTATAGTGAGGCAAATGTAGTCATTGTGGCCTGCAACGTTTCCTCAGCACCAGTCCAAATGAAGAGTCGAAAGGAGACTAGTTACCTCCCGGTGCTCCTGGTTTTCAGGGGCTTCCCCGGCTGAACATCTTGTCAAGCTTCCCACTTGCTCCTGCCCCTTTCCACATATTCCTCCAGATCAGCTCCCAAGGCCACCAGCCATGACCAAAGCCACTCTGATGCTTGCAAAACCTGCGTGAAGGCCGAGCTACCGGTCTGCTATGCCAAGGGCAACAGGCGTCCTTGACAATCAGCACACTGCATTTTCACAGGCCTGTTTAAGTCATTGCACACCTCGAAAAAGGTGGGATGGTTCTAACGGAGGAGAACCTGCAGACCGTCGGAGCTGGCCTTTTGCTCAGCGCAGTGCGAAGAACTGGCGCTCATGGCACGACATGAGATCTTCCTGCCCGGAACAGCCACGGCCAGCTCCGTGCCCGTTCCCGGGAGAGACACGCTCGCTTGCCAGATTCCTAACCCTCCCAGCGGCTGCCCCCTTTCACACCAGGGTGCTCCATTCCCGTTTATCCCCCACCAGGAAGCCCCCCGCTCGTCTTCTCGTCTGCGAACTGATGGGCCGCCTCGCAGTCATGGGGGCTCCAGGTGAGCTTTGCAATAAAAGCACATTCACCTCGCCTGCACAGCTTTACACTGAGCTCGTGTGTAGCGCTACCTTTGCGAAGAGGGAAAGGTGCCGGTTCGCGGCCGGATGGGTGACCACATGTGGAGGCAGAGCAGGGGGTCAGCCTCGATGGCCTTACAGGCCCCCCCAACTCCCAACTCCCACCCTACCCTATCCGAAACCAATCAAAACGGTTCAGGTGAGTCTCGCAGGTAAAGCTGTGCAGCAGACACAACCAACCGATCTGGAGGGGTTCCCATCACTTCTGAATCCTAGTCAGATTGCTTTCTGTGCGATTTCCAAAATATAATGTCACGGGGTGCCCCTGCACTCGTCTTCGGCTTCCTGCGGGTGCCTGGGGTGGCCGCCGTGCACGCAGCACAGAAGGGGACAGAGGACACCGGTCCAAGCACGGCTCTTGGCTACAGACCCAGCCACGCCCGCAGGACCGGGTGACCCTTTGGAGTCTCATCGGGGCACACGGCTCCTAGAGACGCGCCAGGCAACCCGGTGCCTTCCGGATGCTTTGGACTACACCTCCTATCAGTCCCAGCGGGATGGCTGAGGCTAAGGGGATACAGGAACTATGGTCCAAGACCTCTGGAGGGACCAGGCTGTCTGCTGCCGGACTTAAAAAATGGAAAAGTTTCTGGCTGACACAAAAGGTAAAGCTCCAGCCCGGCAGGCACGGCCCGCTCCTCGGCAAGACCATGAGGCGGTGCGCGGAGGGCGGGAGAAGGCAGGAGAGCGTGAGAAGCTACAGATCCGGGGTGATGCGCACGGCTTGTCTGACAGGAAGCGTCACAGGCAGGAGGAATGGTATGTGCCCGGTGCTGCCGAGAGAGCGCTTTGCCTCCCGGCCGCGCCCTCGAGCCTCAGCATCCTTTCCTTTCCTTACCTTCTCCCCCAGGGGACAGTAGCCCTTCAGGAAGTCTGGGCACACCTCTGCTTTCCTGGAGACGTAGACGTGGCTATAAGGGCAGTCGCTGTTGTTGCAGATGCCTTTCAGAAAGTAAGAGCAGACGGGCATCTGGAAGGAGAAAGCAGAAAGCCAAGCCGCTGGCCTCCAGCCCCTGCCATCGGAAGAAAAGCACCCCGAGAACGCGCTGCGGGAAGTGCCTACTAGACATTCCTGGCACTTTGGGGGGCGCTGCACATGTGGCTCGGCCCCTCAGACGCCCTGGTGCAGCTGGCCACGATCATCCCCGTGTTGCCCAACAGCCGCCACGGAGACGGCCGCTTGGCCAGAGGCCGCCCAGGAAGTCTCGCGGTTGGGCGAGGACTCGGACCTCTGCTGCAGCCTTCCCCAAACCGCTGCATTCCCCACCTCCAGCAGCTGCGAAGACGGGGAACTGGCATCGGGGTGGCTGCGGCAGGGCAGCACTCGCTGGCCACTGGCCACACTGCCCGGACACCCGGAAGGCTCCAGCAGTGCGGGGGGGGGGGGCTGCCTCTGCTGCGCGGACAGCCTTGCCAGAGCTCGGGAGTGGAGGCGTCGTCATGTGCAGGTGCTGGAGACACAAATTAGCAAAGCTGGGAGCAGAGACGGATGTGGGACCACCCGGCCGTCGCTGCACAAGCTGCAACCTTTTCACCTTCAAGTCCTTTGCTATGATTAGAGAGAAAATGCTGCCATGCTGTGACCGTTCCGATGTGCCAACTTCACAGAGGGCGGGGGGGCCCTGAGCCCAGCGGCCGAGCGCCAGCCGCCCGTGTGCACCAGTCCCCCCGATTGCCCGCAGGGGAGCAGTGGGCCCGCCTGGGAGCCCGGACAGCCGCTGCCCGTCGGATCTGACCGTGCGGGGCTTGGCACCATCGCGCCGCTCGCTCGCGCCGCCTCTCGAGAGTGACTCTCTGGCAGCAAATGGTGTTCGCCCCAGAGGATAGCTCGACAACCGCAGCCACATCTGAGCTCCTCAGAGATGCCCTGCGTCTCAGCGCTACCAGATGGCTGGTGAAATGGCTGTTCTGGATGCTTGGCTTCCCGTACCCCCGGAGCTCCATTCCGAGCCCTCCTCCTCCTTCCTGCTGCTTACCTCGACACAAAATTGGCTTACTGTCCAGGAAGAAAGTAATCCTTCTGTTAAATGCCACCACCTTAAATCCTGCAGGTTCAGGTATCCTCAAACCAATATTTACAAATGCGCAATAAGCACAGGCAGAGCTAGACGGGGGTATGAAAACTTTTCCCCAAAGGACGTATGAGGGCTTTAACTGAATTAGTTCACTAGAGTGAGAAGTGGGGAGGGAGGGGGGGGGAGCAAGATGGAAGGCTGAAAGAAAACAAAGGGGGCTTTAAAAGCAAAGAGTTTATTTTTAATTGTCTTTTAACTGCAGACATTAAAATAAAGGACAGGGCTCTGGGGCTGTCTATTCTGCCAGTGGTGGCGTGACCGTAAATGATTCCCTTAATGTAGGTTTTGATATAGAGATCAAATTAGCTCTAATAAAAAGGGATAATAAAGCCAGCTCTTATGCAAAACTCAACTCCTCCCAGCTGTCAAGGCTGAGCCATTACAAAGAGGAAGCGCCGTTCTTATTTCAATTAACCTTGTTTGCACCCCGCTATGTCCGTGCAAATAACAATAACATTAATGCAAGGCGCCAGTGCACTGCGGCCCATATGAGGCAGCTCCGAATATGCACACGCCTTTCCGAGCCGGCAGCTAATGAACCCGAAACTCAACGTGAATTTCCAAATTGCTCACAACAGAGTTTTGAAGCTCTATTAGGGAGAAAAATGCTGATTCTTGTCAAGTCCCTCAAGGGGAAAAGCTGTTGGAACAGCAGCCTGCTCCAGCCTGGGACCCAGCCTCTCGCTAACCTTCTCCATCCATTAGCCCTGCCACTCACACACAAGGGGCCGCAGGCCGGCTCCCCACGGCTCCCCGCTGCAGGGACACGCTCCCCAGGGGACGGGCAGCTCTCTTCGGGTGGCCCCGCGGCCGGGTGGCCGCTCCCCACAGCTTCCCGTCCTCCAAAGCGGGGAAGCATCTCAGGGCTCCCCACAGATCCCTCAGGAAAGAGCGAAAGACCCCTCCCCACCACTAGGCCCCTGGGAGCGTGAGGAGCCCACGAGTTCACGTAGCACTTCTGCTCCTCCGTGGCCTTGCCTGCCTGCCCAAAGGGGACACAGCAAATCTCCATGCTCGCATCAGTGCCCTACTTCTCTGTGCCATCCGCAGGGCGATCAGAGGTGTGCTGGGGGGGGGGGACTTTTTTTTTAAAGCCCACCCCCGCTGGAAAGGCCCTGACCCGCCCCCCCCCCCCCCGTGACGCAAGGGAAGCCACTCCACTTTAATTAAGGCACAGCGAGCTCGGGAGGCGGCTTCTTGTCCAGGTGCGCACGGGGCCGCCACGACCCAGGGCCCCCCCACTGTGACGCTGCCTCCCTCTAGCCACCATTCTCTCACTCTCGGAGCCAGGAGGCCCCCACGTGACAGCTGCCGGGGCTCCGGGGCGGGCAGGGCCCCTGGCCGGCGGCTGCGGGCTGGACCGAGGGGCCTTGGTGTGACCCGGCTCTGGGGCTCTCCGAACCTCCACGAGGGAGGGGGCCCCGGGGTCAGCTCCGGCGAACAGGCGCAAGCCCCAGACGTTCTGGCAACTCAGCTGGAGTCCAGCTCCTCCTAGAACCACTTCTTCTGTCAGCGAGCTCAGTGAATCTGCTGCTCCACCAGCCCTTTTCGCCTCTCCACCTTCTTCCTGCCCGTGGCCTGTCCTTTCCTATGTCCAGCACGCTCCTCGGGGTTGTCCCGCTGTGTCAGCAGCCCGTTTCCAGGCCCGATTCAGAGGGTGCCATGCTTTAAAGACCTAAAAGGCTTGGGACCGGGCTGCTGGGCCAGGGGCAGGCCCGTATCTTCCTGCCCGACTGCTCAGATGTGGCCCGAAGGCTCTTCTGCCGCTCCCCAGAGCGGCTGGTGGCTACCAGGGAAGAGCCTCCTCGGCAGTGGCCCCCATGTGTGGAACGCCCCTCCCAGAGAGATCTGCTCGGTGACTTTGCTGCCTGCGCTGAATCGTTCCTGCCACTCGGACTACTGCCGTTCCCACAGGAGAAGTTTTACCTTGTCAACATGTCGATATTTTCCCGGGGGCATGTATTGCTGTTTATGGCCTGGGGGTTCACTGCAAATGAGCCTGAGGGCATGGCCCCACGAGGTCAGCTTTCCTCATCCCATGAATGTTTTGCCTGCGCAACTCGGGCATGGAGGAGGTGCGCCTTGCAGGCCCTGCCTCGCCTTCCTGCTTTCACCTTTTCCCATTCTGGCCACCGGCTTTCCCAGGCCTTCCCCCCTCAGGACTACTTCTTCCACACCCCACTGGCCGGATGCTTGCATGGCTTTCTGACCCATCTGAACAAGACTCCTCAGTTCGCCTCCCCTCCTGCAAAGGTTCTGCAGGTTGCGATCCCTGTCCAGCCAAGAGTCCAATGGTCCTGGCCGCAGCTGTAGGAACCAGAAAAAACTCATGTCTCCATTAGCTCCTGGAAAGGGCGGTGGCAGCCAAAAAAGACCGGGACAAGAGCCATGCCATTCTTCCAAGCCCGGGCTGAACAAGTGACGCAGGCTGATGGGCCTGAAGGGGAGCATGGAGGTAGCAGTAACCCGCACTGTGCATATAAGGCCAGGTGCAGTGGCTGCTCTTCTCCCCTTCCCCGCAATCAGGTTTCTAACTGAAGTCCACATTACGTTAAAGTTGACCAGGTGGGACATCTTTGTTAGAGAAGCAAGCAACGTTAGGGAAATGCAGGGAACTGGGGAACGGGGCTTAATGACATGAGGCTGATTCCACACTGAATACTGAAAATACTGCATTTTCCTTTCAACTGGAAAAGCTCTAGCCCCATTTGGCGGGGGGGGGGGGTCCACACACTTAAGAGCCAATTGCTCAGGGCATCTGATGCCTCCCAGCTGTCTGCCCTCTTAACCTGACACCATATGACTGGGCTGATGCTGTTGCAACAGACTCGCTAAACTTTCCCACAGAACGTGAAATGGTCTGATTCTCAGTGTCTGTCTGGCTTACCCCACTCAGCTGTGGATTCCAGCGCCCCCTCTTCTGAATCAGAACCTGACTTTGCAGCCTTTGAATAACAGAATCCTAGAATAGTAGCGCTGGAAGGGGTCAAGAAAGGCCATCGGGTCCAACCCTCTGCAAGTGCAGGACAGCAAGTTACACCACCCTCTTCGGATGACTGTACAGTTGCATCTTCAATGCCTTTAGTGCGAGAGAGCCCACAGCTCCCTAGATCATTGGTTCCATGGCCGTACACTCTGACAGTGAGGAAACCTAGCTGGAACTAGGCTTCCCAGAACTTGAGCCCATTATACTGCGTCCTGCAGTCCAGGATGATCTGGAAGACAGCCTGGCCTTCCTCTGGGCGACAGCCTTTCAAGAATCGGCAGAGCGCCATCCTGCCTCCCCTCCGTCTTCCCTCCTCAAGGCTGAACATGCTCGGTCTCTCGACCTCTCCTCATGGGGCTTGGTCTCCGGATCACCCTCGATGCCTCCTCTGCGTCCTTTCCAGCTTGTCTGCCTCTCTCTCCATCTGAGGGGCCCAGAACTTGGCACGGGACTCCCGGTGAGGCCTAACCAGTGCGGAGCAGAGGGGAACTAGGACACCATGTGATTTGGAAGTGATATGCAGCCTAAAATAGCATTTGAAGGCAGTTTTATTGGGGGAGTGGGCCCAATCGCTACAAGCACAAAATGTCAGGCCTGCACTGCAAGATCTTAACTGTTTTATCATTGTAATAACTGTTTTTAATAGTTTTCCTGTTTAAGCCATCTTCAGATTTTGTAATGAATTGACTGTATATAAAAACTTGAAAGACAGACAGAACCCTGCACTTTTAAGAACCCTATGGGTCTGAGTGGGAGCTCACCCTGCTATCTCAGAGATAATAAGCCCAAGATACACCCTGCAGATGGGCTCTCTGTCCGTCTTCCCAGTAAGAGGAAGTATCCGCTGACCAAAGCTGCAAAAGCCCCGTCCTGAAGCTCAGTGGTCCTGGCACGGCCCACCTCCCCAGCCGAGCTGGCTTAAAAGGGGACTCCGCTCCACGGCCAGCAGGTGACCAGAGCACGGATGCGCGCATCGCGCACGCCTATCCCCATGACAGTGACAACAGGCCTGGAAACCCCTTTCCTTGCTCAGCCAGGTCACACACAACATGGAGGGGGGCGGAGGCAGGGACTGGGGTTGGCCAGCGGCCGATGCCGAGCCCAGACAGGCAGTCCAGCCTTTGGTTTCAAAAGGGCCCCCTTCGGGCTTGGGTGGCCCGTGTCGCGGGGGCTCTGCTAGGAGAGGTCCAGGGGAGGGGACGGCATGTTGTTTGCGTCCTGTGGCCTGGGGGAGAAGAACGACAACAGAGGGGATTATCGTTCTGCATTCCCAGCTGGAGACAAGCGGATTCCGGATTCCAGCGCAGGAATGGGAGGCGGAGCAAGAGATGCCTCTGAGCCAGAATTCCCAGCCGGTAGTGAACTAAGCAGACATGCAGCGGGAAAAAGCCACCTCTGTCGGGAGGGGCTCATTTGGAGGCCGGGGGTTCATCCAGCCCATTTGCCGTGCTCAAAGGCAGCAGAAAAGCGCATTTGTGGTGGGAATTAACTCACCAGCCGCTCTCCTTGGGTGGCACTTTGATAAATGAGGCGAACAGCACCTTTCCCGGTAATCACCAGGTTAACAGGAAGCTACAGCAGCAAGAGCCGAAGTCGCCACTTGCTCCGGGCAGCAGGTTCCGCCTGGGCTATAAATCACCGTGAGCGGGCTCTGAGCTCAGCAGAGGCAGCCCGGGCGCTCCTCAGCCCAGCCTGGCAGAGAGGCGGCCAGAGGCCCCAGCGAGGAAACAGCTGCCCGCAAGAGCTCCAGGATGCAAAGGCAGGCCGGCGTTTAAGAAGGGCTGACCTGCCCTGTCACGGAACCCGGCAACCCTCGGGTAACGCATCTGCTTGGGCTGCTAGTCGGCCCGGGACACGGGCCTGTTATTCTGAGCTCAGAAAACAACCAACCGAAGCAAAGGAAAAGCTGCCCAGGCCGCCCACATTCTGCAGCCCACATACAACGTTCACATGCGCACCATGACTTCCATTTGCAGTTTTTAATGTGGCACTTCTGACATTCTGTGCAGTGGTGCTCTGGTTTTGCGAGACGCAGGGCAGGGCAGGCAGTTTTAAAGAACATTCAAGCCCCAGCGCCCAGAAATCCTACTCTTCTGAGATTCTGGCTGGCTTTGTCCCAATGCCTTCAAGAATGGCCTTGAAGTCATATGGGCCGGGAACCTGCTAGCTGCCTTTTAATGGAAGTCCTCATGCTCTCAGGAAGTCAGAACTCTGCACGAAGCAGACCACAGGGAGTCGCCGAAAGGGGCCAGGCAGAGAACAAAAGGTCCCCAAGAGCCTGGGAGAGGGCACCTCCCTCCTAGATAGACTCCCCTTGGAAAAACTTCAGGATTTCTATCAATCCATATATAAAACACAGCCCTCACATTCCTACCCACTCTCCTAAAATGCTGGAAAGGCCACAAAACAGAATTCTAGTGGAGGGAGAAGGAAAATGGGCTATTTTGCAGAGGGGCAGGGCTTGGGTTCCAGTGGGAGGGGCCCTCGTGGGCAGACGTGGCCCACAGCCCTGCCGGCCCCCCTTCCTGGGGCAGCCGGCAGCTCCCGCCTTCTGACGCCTTGGGAGTGCTGTAGGGCTTTCTTCACCCCAGGAGAGGTGCAAGGGAGACTGGAAACACCTTTTCTTATTCATTCCTCTCGTCTGCTCGTGGCTCTTTTGGGATGCAGTTTTTAAAAGGCTTCCTTAAACCTTCAGGACTGTGATAAATGCACTGCACTTGCATACACAATTTTTGCGAATCAAGATCCACAATCTGATTTTTAGGCAGGGAATCTGTGATCCTGGAATCTGCCTTTGGGACGTGGAAGTTCTCGGCCTCCTAGTAGCGCTTGGGATGAGATTTCTGGCACCGGCAGCTTTTCTCTGTGGCGAGGGAGTCCAGTGCCTTGCCGGGCCTCAGCAGCGGTGAGCCAAAACCTGCCCCCTGCTGCCATCCATCACGGGTGCGAAACGGTGCGCCCGAGAGCAGCGCCTGGCCCTTCACCCCAGGGCCCATTTGCCTGCAGCCAGAAGGACCCTTGATGCAGCCACCTGGCACCCGCACAACACACCAGCTACTGACACATGAAAAGAGGCACCCCTGTGCTCTGCACTCCCACTGCACATGGCTTGGCTTTTCCAGGCAATTTCAAAGCAGCACCCCCTGAGATGCCCCCCCCCCCGGCGGCTGCCCCTTACCCAGCCCCTGCACCACCAAGCCGGACACACCTTGTCCTTCGAAACCTTGTGGGAAAATGGACATGTCCCATCTGTCTTCTTGCACGTGCCACGGAGAAACCTGTTGGGGGGACCAAAAAGAGGGCAGTGTCAGACCGAGTAGCTCATTACCCCCGCGAGCTCCCCCAGCTTTCCCCAGAGCACCTCTCCTGCCCGGCCCCTGCGTGAACGCCAGCGGCCAAGCGCCTCCTCAGGCTGTGTCCTGCAGTCGTCTTTGGCACAGCGGCCAAGAGGGAGCCTTGCCGTGTTAGTGACTGGGTTTATTTCCCGGGGGCCCCAGGCTTGGGTCAAAACCAAGCTGTGCCACTTTCTCTGTCCACCTTACGCATCCGTGGGAAAACATGCTGTGAAGATGACACAGCCGCAAGAAGCCAGAGGGCCTCCGTGGAGACACGACCAAAGGGTCAACTGCTCACGCGTCACCTTGTGCGCGAAGTTAAATTGCTCCTGCTGAGTGATTTAACATGTAAGCTGGACACTCTGGGTGGATATAGCAGTCATTTTTAAAGTTCGCACAGTGGAGCAGGTACCTTCGGGCAAAGAGGCGAACCGAGTATTTTATGTTCCTTAAGCATTTAAAAATAAAAGATGCCACACAAGAAGGCACTGATCCGGAAAGACAACGGAGCCCCGTCCACAAGCTCATAATCCACTTAAACGAAATCCAAGTCTGGAGTACATTTTGGATCTTAAGCAATCCTGCCACATCCCTCTCCCATTCTCCCTCCCGCTCTTTCCCTCCCTCACGCAGACACACTTGTGAGAGTTGCACAGAAGTTGCAAAAGAGCCCCAGGCAAGATGTGAGTTGTCCCTGAATCAGCATCTCAGAAGGAAGTTCAACTTCAGCACTTCAACCCACAGAACAAAAACTGCCTGTACACACAAAGAAGCTGACATTAACCCCGGTTCCCCATAGCTTGCCACTTGATTGGTGCCTCATTAGCTCCTGGGCACAACTCAATGGGCCTCTTCTTGGCCATAAAGGCACTGCCCAGGACCCACCTCTTCCCCATGGGGCACCCATGAGGATTCAGACAGCTGTGAGCAGCCCTCCCGCAGCGATCCTGCCCCAGGCCCTTCTAGACTCGAGGTGCTGCATTCTTATTTGCAACGGGCTTTTGCCTGGGGGCGGGGGGGCTGCGGAGGCCCCTGGCTCCCCTGTTGGTGCTGGGTGTGCTCTGATTTGGGGCCAGGGTTATGTCTCCTTCGGTCACTGTTATCCTGTCGGGGCGTTCCCCTCTTCCTTATGGCTTACGGGCTGCTGCTTGGTGGGGCCAAAGACAAGAGGGAGGAAGTGCTTCCAAATGTCTCTTCTGCCCCTGACCAAGGGGCGGTGGGCATTTGGGTGCATGCTTGACCAAAATGCCCATATTCTGACCTTGCAAAGGGAGAAAATGCAAACAGCCTTCCAAGTTTGGAGCTGCGTCCGACCTGGGAGGGGCTTTACAAACCACTGCAGTGTCCCGGCTAGGCTGTCGAGAGGCCACAAGATTGCGATGATCTTGTTTTATGGAGGTGCATTTTCTACTGGATTTTGTAAGTGCTATCAAATTGTTTGGGGATACAGGACAGCCATTTATATAAGGTCCAAATGGTCCGATGTGCATTTGAGAGGAGGTGTGCTGGGCTGCTGCAACGGAACAGTGAGCAGTCCCTGGGCACCTAACACATCATCAAAAGACAAAGTGGTTAACAGCAATTACGGCTGCTGTGCGTGGCCGCTGCTCCTGCGCATCTGAGCTGGAAGGGAAGCGAGTAGACAAGCGCCGTTCATGTGGCCTCGAGGCTTTGCTGCCAGAGCAGCACATGCGAGAAGCAGCGGAGACGCCACCTCGGAGCAGCACTCAAGACCTCTGGCCTCGCTGTTTCCAGGGGCTGCTGCGTATCGTTCAGGCACGGGGCTGTGGGGGACACGTGCGCGCGCACCTTGACACCACACTCATGACTGCCAGCAGAGGAAGGCCTGCATACATGCCTCTAATGAGACAAGCTTTAAGTGCCTTCCGGAACAAATGCGGCAGGCCCTGAAGGGGAAGACTGCGGGTCCCAAGAGGTGGCCTGCCAGTGGGATCCTCACTCCTGCCCCCGCTGCTTCCGGGGCTCTTGCTCTCTCTTCCTCCTGCCCCACCCCACCGCCCCACATGCTTCTCCGCACCTCGGCCTGCAATGGCAGCCGATATACTTAGGCAAGCGCATCGTTCGCCCCACGTGCAGCAGCGCCCGTGCCTTTTCGGCTTGCCCTGGGGCTCTGGCGCATTTGTGGGCACCCTGTTCCTGCCAGGTTCCTGCAGGGCGCCAGCTGGGAGGGGATGCAGGGTCCAGCGCCAGCCCGCCGGTCCTTCTGTTACGTCTTGCCCATCGCCCCATGATTCAGGGCTTGGGGGGCAGCAGGGGCGCTCCCTGCCCCCGCAGAATGACGTCCCGGCCCAGAAAGGGCTGCCCTCCCCCCACCGGCGAGAGGAGGAGCCGAGGCAGCGGGGCGCATACCTTGTGCACACAGCCACCTTGTCTGGGTCGTGGATGTAGGGGCAGCTCTCGCCACGGTTGCATTTGCCGAAGCGGTTGTAGTACATGCAGTATTCTTTCTTCTTCTCCTTCTTCTGCTTGGCCTGGCGAATGATGGCCAAGCTACGCTGGACGGCGCGGCTGAACAGAGGAGACATGAACAGGCACGCTCAGGTCCCCAGGGGGCTGCTCGGAAAACCTGGGGCAGCCCCACCCCACAGCCCCAAAATGTGCCCTCCAGCACTGCTGCTACCGCGTCGCACATACCGAGCAGAGGCAGGGCAGCTGGTCCTGGACAGGCAGCGGGGGATCTGTGGAGGGCTGACCAAGAAAGCGGGGGACCGACTGCTCGGGAGAGGGCCCCTGCCACGGGGGTGCTCCAATCTCATCCCCACTCCAGGGCTTGCCTTGCCAGCAAACTCTGTGCTTGAACGGGACGCGCACGGCTCCCCCGTGCTGGGTGCTCCTGCCCGCTCCCAGCGGCCAAATGCACCTGCAGGCCGCAGAGACGAGACGGGGCTCCACAGGGGTGCACAAGCGTCAGAGCAGGAGGGGAAGGCTGGGGGAGCCGTAACGGGGGGGGGGCCTGTCCAGCGGAGCAGTAACGGCGTGCGTGTCAAAGCATGCGACACTGCGTGGCCACGGTGATGGCTCCAAGGGGGGGCCGGACACACTCGTGGAGGCCCTCTGTGGCCACTCATCCTGGTGGCCAGGGGCCGATCCTGGTGTGTCCATGGAAGCCAGTTGCTGGGGAATGCCGAGAGGAGGGGCTCCTGCGCCCACATCCCGCTCGTGGGATCCTGTGGGCCTGTGGAACGGAGTGCTGGACTCGCGGGCCCCCTGAGCCAATACGGCGCAGCTCCCCTGATCAATATAATCAGGGTGGGAAGAGGCAGAGGCTGGGAAGGTTTCGACTGCTCTGCTTTGAAAAGGCCTGGCCTGGCACGGAAAGGTCTCAGGCACAGGAAGCAACTGGGCCAAAGGCACACACAGGGTCCTTCTTTATTGCTGGACTTTTATCAAAATGGCAGAAGCCGACATGGTGTTTCAAAGGCGTTGATTTACACAGTTTTGCAAACCATCCAAAGATGTTCCTTTTCACTAAAGCAACTTTTACATTTCTATTGTTTTTCAAAACGGCACAACTGTGCAATTCTGCAGCAGTGTGGTTCTTTAAAAGTAATGGGTAAGACACCAAAATGGTTTGGCCTCTGCATATAATTCCCAGTCTTCCCAAAGCAGCACGCCCATGCTTGCTTTCGAATTGGCTGCTGGAAGGACACAGGCGCACGGTCAGATGCTAACATGCCGAGTCCCGCAACTCCTGCCAGAATTTGAAAACACTTCAGGACCTGAGGACTGGGGGCTTTGTCCACCCTCAAGACACGGTGTGGTGGCTGAACAGAAGGCTCCGGCCAGTCAGCTAGGCTGGCCCACTTGGCAGCAGGCACAGCTAGAGCCAAGGTTCGTCTGCATGCCCTGGGCTGTGTGGCCTCACTATTGATCCCCCTGATGACCATTGACTGAGCCTGGAAGCCAAGCCAGTGGCTTCCAGGCATGCTAGAACGTCTCTTCTTCAAAAATTAATTCCTGGCCAACCAACGTTGTCCCCTGGAGATTTCACCAGACACGGAGAAGGAGCACACTTGGCCAAAGGCTTAATTCCCCCCACGGATCAGCATCTTGACAGAGGTGGGCATCGGTAAGAACCCCCAGGGGTGCACAGGAGAGCCCGTCCGAGCAGGTTTCGGGGGCAGATCAGGTGCCTGTAAGGCAAGGCCGGGCAACTTGTGGCCCACCAGATTTTATTGTTCAGTGTATTTATAGCCTGCTTTTTTTTTTGAAGGAGCCGGTAGCAGCACAAGAACCCTCCTCTCCATTTTATCCTCACAACAACCCTGTGAGGAAGGTTAGCCTGAGAGTCAACAGCTCACCCAAAGTGAGCCAGGGAATTCTATGGCCAAGTGGGAACTGGAGTCTCAGTGCAAGATTTATTTCTTCAATGTATTTCATTTTCAGATTGCTCCATAGCCAAGGCTCTTTGTGCAGTCAACAAAAGTTAAGCAAAAATTTAAAGACACACACACAAAACATTTAAAACAACAACAGGATAATAGCAATTGAATCAGCATAGAAGCATAGCAGCAGCACAGAATAAAAAAGCAATTCAAAAAAACCAAAGTTAAAACAATAAACTGATAAAATGCTGGGAAAATAAAAGGGATCCGTAACTCTTAACTAGTCATATGTGAGGAACTGGGCTCAGGGGTGGGAATCCATCGGATTTCCTTGGCGTGGCTCCCCAAACTCAGGCCTGAGTCTCCTCTCTGCCCTCAGCCTCCTCAGGCCGAGCGTTCGCACCGACATCCGTGAGGAAGTGAGCCCGAGCGAGGCCGCACTGCACCCACGGTGCCTGATGCGCCAGGAGAATTCGGCTTCCGCACACCTGCCTTGCAGGCTTCGCATACTCTGCGCACTTTGTGCAAGGGTCCCTCCGTGCCCGGCAGGGCCCGGCTGATGCTCTTAGCTCGATGCTCGTCCTGGCCAGGGCTGAGAGCAGAAAAGACGTGCGGCGAGCGCTAGAGAGACCGATCCCAATCAGATCTTCACCCCCTACTCCGAACCACTGCGTCGCGCCAGCTCTAAGCATGGCCTACACCTCCCATGGGCCCTAACTCCCCGCACGGCCAGCATTTTGGCCGTAGCTTCTGGGGGGCAACCCATGGCCTCCTTCTGCCAAAGCAACACTCATTTCAAGGCTTACACGCCACCACTGCAAACAACGTTCGCGAGAAAGTCTATCCCAGACCTTCAGTGAGGTCGGCACAGGAAGACTTCCCTTTGCACGCGCAGTGGTGGAGGGGGACTGATGCTATGCGCCAGAATGCGCAGGCCCAGGACACGTGAAGCTGCTCAGAGCGGCCCCAGTGCTCTGCACGGTGGGCTCCCCGCCCCGCCCCCTGCTCTCAGTGGCAGTGGCTTGTCCTGCAGCAGCTCTGCTACGGGGCTCCTTTCGTGGGAGTCGCCGTGGCCTGAAAAGGGCCATGCCGTAGCTGAGGCGCATTTCCCCGGATACGTGCGTCACTGGGCACACGGTTCCAAAGGCGCTTCGCCATCTCACTGCCTTCTGGGTTTGGAGGTGCAAATCTGGTAAGCTGGCAGGCGTGGCCCAAAGGCGGTTCTCCGCTCCGCAGCCCCTGGCCGTCTCCCTCCGGCCTTATTCACGCCCTTCCGCGGGGAACCCCAGTGCTCTTTCAAGGGGGTACAAACCTTGCGATGTACCGGGTCGTGGCCTGCCTGCTTGAGCAACCGGGTGGAGAATAGCCAGGTGTGCCGAGTGCTGAATCGAGCCTCGCTGTTCAAGAGGAGAAAAAGAAACACAGAAGATGCTAATCAGAGCTCATTCGGAGATGGAATTGGTAAGGAGTTCAATCTCTTATTGATTAACACACGGGGAAGCATTGTGTGCAGCTCATGCAGGGTAATAAGCGCTTCTTCGACAGAGCGAGGTGCCTCACAGAGAAGAAACGGCCACATGCCTGGCTGGGGACCGGGATGAATTAAGCCAGGTTCTGGGGACAGTGCTGCAGGAACGCAAAGACCCCAGCTACACGCAGCCCCAGAGGCTGCCTCCACGTTCCATAGCAGAGACCAGAGGCTAGAGCTGGCCGGGGTCTGAACCCGGGCCCAATCCTGCCTCTGGGTGCTGCTGGCAGAATTCAGTCCTGACCCTTCCGGGGAAGCTTCTCACGAGAGGCTGGGATAAAGCCAGGCCTGCCTAGCTCCGAGCGGTGACCAGCAATGCCTGGGCATGTACCCGGGCCCGATCCCACAATTCCTGTGCTGCCTTGCTTGCCAAATCACCACACCGGATTAATGGAACCAAATGGAAAGCGATCTGTCTGCAGCATGTAATATTCCAGCAAAGCATGTCTTCTGCTGGCTCACAGCTCATCGGAAAAGTAGCACAGAGAGGACGTATCAATAGACATATACAAGCATTCACCCTGCGCTTTCCCTCTCCCGAAGGACGCCACCAGTGAAGAACGAAGCAGCCCAACCTCAGCCAACAGTTCTAGGGATGCAGCCGAGTCCTGGTTTGACTTGAAAAGCGGGCAAGCACGCCCTGTTCAAAGCCCGGGATGTGCTTGCAAGCCAAAGATATTTGTAAAATTGCCGAACACAATCATGCTCAATTTTGCGACTGTCCTAATTTGTGCAATCCCCCCCAGACAGAATCACCCCCATCTTAGTCTACAGAGCGAAGTGACACAAACCAGGGCGACTGAGCAAATTTCTTTCTGATTTGCACAATTTTCCTGTTTGTGCAGAGCAGGCGGCAATCGCAAACCCAAGCTGCTATCAGGCACGAAGATGCCCAGAGCATCCTGGAGATTTGGCCACAGAATCCTTGAACAGTCGAGTGTGAGGGGCCAGAAGGCCATCGGGTGTCCCCCCCGCCCCCGCTCCGTGCAGGACTCCAGGTTAGGCCACCCCCCTCAGATGGCTGTCCGGGTGCCCCCGCTTGCCTGCCCACCCCATCATTCCACAGTTGAAACCACACTCCCAGGGAATGGGCACACGATCGGCCTCCAGCCGGCGGGAAGACGGAGCCCGCGGTGCCCAGCGGCATCAGTGGCCACCGTGAGCAAAGCGGCCCTGCGGCCCACTGCAGGTCTGGCTCCAGCAGAGGCGCTTCCTGTGGCAGCCACCGCCTGCACGACCTGGACTCCTCCAGCAGCCAAAACGCTCCTTTGCTCCAGCTCAGCCCTTGCAGAGCCCCCCGCGCAGGGAAGTGCTGCCTCGGCCTTCCCCAGACAGGGGGACCGTCCATGGATGCGCTTCAGGTGGGCGCATCCTTCTGCTCCTACAACGAAGGACGTGATGTGCTTGCCCTCCTCGTTAGCCGTCTCCCGCTGCACTGCACCGCCCTACCCAGGCCCACACACAGCAGAGCGTGCAGAGCACCCTCCAGGGGCCGTGGGGGTCGCTGGGCGGGCTCTCTGCCCTGCTGGGAGGAAGAGGGGCACGCGTGGGGAGGCAGGCGTCATCCAAGCACGGTTTGCTTGCGCCCTCTCCAACTTGCACGCAGCAGTGGTTGGTGCTTCAGCTGTTTGGGAGCACCAGCCGCTCCCCCAGAGGGACTGGGCAGGGTGCGATCACAGGCCTGGCCCAAGCTCCCAGCTGCACGTGGGTGAGGTCCCTGGGCCAGGGTTGCTTCTGACCAACATCTGGGACCACACAGCCGGTGTGACACCGTGTCCTGCAACAGCAGGGGGTCGGGGCTGACGGCCTTCTGGCCCCTTCCGACTCTGCTATTCTGCGATCCTATGACATGGATGTGCCTTCCTACACCCTGGTGCCTGATCTCCTCACTTGGGGTGCTGAGGATTCAGCCTGGGGCCTCCCTGCCCTGACCTATGGCCCCCCCAAGGCCTCCAGGGAGCTGGGGGTAAGGCAGGATCAGGCTGCCACCACATGCAGGGTGCAGAATGGCTGCCTGGGCTAAAGCAGCCTTGCCCAGCCAAGCAGGCTCCAGGTGTTTTGCTGGGGGGGGGGGTTATTGGGACTGCAATCACACACATCTGGAGCGTGCCGTGTTGGGGAAGGCGGCTTGAAAGCTACCCGAGAGCTGAACGGAAAGGCCCAGACTCAGGGAAGCTTCCGGAAAAGGGTCTTCGCTCATTCACGCTCCGGTGTCCCTGCCTGGACTGACAGGCGTTCCGGCTGCCTGGGGGCTCCTCCGCGGCACGGTCGGCCGAAGCGTGCCCCAGAGCACTCCAGGTGGGAGCCGCGCCTTTCTGTCGCTCACCTGCCAGCCCCAGCGTGTTCCTGCGTGAGTGAGTGGAATTTGATAGCGTGTCAACGAGCGCTCCCCGTGCCCGGGCTGTCACGCGGCCCGCTGGTGACGCACAGACCCATCTGCTCCGTGTGCAAATAAAAACGCTGGCGCAGCCGTGTTCCGGGAGCAGGCGCGCGGGCCGTCTATCAGCGGCATCAACCGCGGCCAGCCACGGGGCAAAAACGAGCGCAGCCAGTCACGGCGAAACATCTGGGTGGCCCACGGGTTGGGCTGGTTTGCGAAAGCCCAGCTGGGGCCCCACCGCCTCCAGGCAGGGCGGTCACAGCCTGGCTCCTGCGCTTCTGCTTGGCACACGGCTGCGCATTTCCCCCCACCCGCAGCCTCCTGCCAAAGCTGGACTCGCCGTCGGATCTGGCAAGAACCGTCGGGCACCTTTGACAAGTGCTTCCCCTGTTAAAAAAGGCACATAAACTGCCTTGCGTGGAAAGAGGCTCCAAACCCCAAGATATTAGGAGAGCTGGAAGATGTGTTAAAACGTTCCAAGGGTGCAGAAAGTGCTTTGCTTCCACAGCACCATCACTTTTGAGGCATTTAAGTGGAGGAAGAATTCCAAGCGGCAACTCGATGAATAAAACAAATGCCAGGTGCTCCCTTCTCCATATCCCAACCCCCTAACGTTTTCTGCTTGGCCCCAAATCCTTTGAGAGCCCCCGAGGGTGGCATTCCATGACAGCCCGGCATGAAACGCCTCGCTCGAGCTGCCATGTCAGCTGCCTCTGCCTGGTAAGGCCTGGGCACGTGACGCGGCCACGGAGCCCGCAGCTCACTCATCCGGACACGGGCCCGCTGTCGCCACGTGCTGAACATGCCCGCTGGAAGCCCCCAGTCGCCACACTCAGAACGGACCGCGCTGCTGTGCCACTGGGCGGCTCTCACAGCTGGCACAGAGGACGCTTCTTCTGCAGCAGCGAACCTGCGGGTTGAGAGGCGAGCCGAGCGGCACCGCCACAGTCCGGGGCCGTGGCCTTGGATCGCTGGACACTGACGACTGCTCGTCAGCCCCACAGTAGCTGGCAGCCCTCTGCCGTCAGCAGCGTGTGTGCTTGTCAGATCCTTGGCCTGATCCCGCAGGACTGCCCTGGCACAGGCAGAACCTGGGGGCATGTCTGGCTGAGACCTTGACATGTTTAGCACGCGCTTCACATGGGGTGGGAGAGCACTGCGGGAATGTGTATCTCTGCGTTACATGCATGCTCAGCCTTTCCTCCAAGGACCCAGGACGGTGTGCATGAGCCTCCTCTTCTCTGTTTGGTTCCCTGAGAAACAACCCTGTGAAGGAGGCTTGGCAGAGCATCAGTGGCTGGGACTGGAACCTGGAATGTGCCCCCGACACGCGTCAAAGCTGCGATTTGCTGTATAAGGCACTACAAGCAGGCACCACAGAGGTGTGCCTGGACTTTCTCCCATGGGAAAACATAGCAGATTTGGGGTGGGGTGGGGGGAGAGATAGTTTATACAACAGGGAAAGGGCACAGAAGCACATCCTTTCCCCAAACACCTCTTCCGGCTCATCAAAACGAAGGCCATGGACATGCCCCATCCCAGTTCCTCCAGAGTAGCTGTTCTGCTCTTGGCCATTGTGGAGAGGAGCAGATCTGGACTAGGCCGCAACACCTCGTCCCCTGCCCTTTCTATGATTCTCCAATCACCTTCCCCCCAAGTCCTCCCATGAGGACTAGGAGCTTGTCCTTTCTGCTCTCACCTGGAAGCAGAGTCGGAAGCTATGTCCCAAGATTCAGAGCTGCCCTGCAGTCCAAACTCTGTTGTTGCGCAAAGTAGATGAAACCCACTATAAGCCCAAGGATTAAAACCCTGTTCCAGGCATGCCCCAGAACGCCTTTTTACCCGGTACATTTTGAGAAATAAAGAAAATGCAAGACATTTCTCCTTACTATCTGGCTTAGAAAAATGAACGGCTAGAATACTTAAGTAATGGAAGAGAAGCCAAGTGATCGACAGCTGGAAGCCCAACGATTTTGTAACTCTAATTCCACCTAATAAAAATAACCTGACTATCTCCTTTCACCGATTAAATCCTTTCAATGATTTAAGGGACCCTCTCATCAGCGGGGGAGGGCAAACCCTTCTCCATTGAAGTGAATGGCCTTTTCAAGCTCATGTGGAAGCCCCCAAGGCCTGCGCTGCACCTGACGGGGCCAGAGCAGCCTCTCCCACCCTGCTGCCCTCCATCATCGCTTGCCCCCCGACTTGTCTCCGCGTGGACGGCAAGGGGATGATGGGTGTCATAATCCAGCATGTCAGCCGGGGCCAGGGGAGGAAAGGCTGGGCTAGGCCCCGGCTTGGAGAGCTAAAGTGTAACGCAAACAAACGCTGAGATGCTCAGTTTGAGAAGCACACACAATCCAGCAACATCAGGAGGCCTTCAACATCATCTAGCGAATGATCCCGCTCCTCAAAGGGATCGTGCTGCCAATGGAAAAAGAGGAAGCATAATTGGTGGCACTCCGCCACCACCCAATGCAGGAAACACC